GCGGGCGCGTGGTGCTTTAGCACACACCTGTTTACCGTAAGGAAGCTTTCCCTCCCTGGTAAACTACTTGTGATGTTGTTACCAGGTCTCATGATTTTTTAGTTTTTTAAAAGTGTTCGAATCCCACCCCTTGCTCTGCTCTGTGTGGTTCGCATGCTCTCCACATGTAGCTTTTCTCTGGGTTCTAAGCATCTCTGAGCAAACCATGGTGTCTCACTGTGGACAGGTCTTTCTCCTGCGATGGCCTGGACTAGCAACATGTTCTTGCCTGGTACCCCCATCGCAGGTACGCGTGTATAGAAAATGGCTATTCCAGCCCCCAGGGACTTTTCCGGTTCCGTGGATCATCGGTTCAGTCGGCCCCGTTACGGAACATTCTTAAGACCTGCCTGCGATATGCCCTGACGCGCCACGGTTCTGCCCACCGTGTCCTGCAGGCTTTGCTCCCTCGCTGATGGCTTGACAGCGTCGTGGAAGCTGCTGTGAGGACGTTCAGGGGGGCGCATTAAATACTGCACAGCTATATGATCCTATGTATCCCTAGAAACTCTTTTCTTTTGTCTAGAAGATGATTAATGCGCTTGATTAGCCTTTCCAGTCGCATAGTAATTACAGCAATGGCGAAGTGCCGTCCCAAGCAGAAATTGATCTTCGCCGTAATCGACCCTTTGTTATCGTTAAACACCATAACAATGATAGATAATCCTGAGCAGTTCATTGGGTGACCCCCATGTGTTATTGTGGGGGAGTGGAGCATTGCTCAGCATCTTTGTTCACCGGGAGGGTGGGGCATACAGACGCACACATACACGCACGCAACCTGCACCTGAAATGCGCCGTGAGGGAGCAGGTTGCATGGCGAACCAGGGCACATTCTTGTAACCTGAGGGTTGCTCATTCACTGTGCTCATATTGCAGGAGACTGCGGATTAACTGTAGGTGTGTCTGTGTGTGTCCATCCTCAGCATTACGGTCACGATTAATCAGTCAGACCGTACCTGCTGCTTGTGGTGTAGGGCTTGTGTGTCTGGGTGTTTTTCTGGATGAGTTGCATAGATTCGTTCTAGGGGTGCACTCCTTTGTGTAAGCCAGTGTTTCTCAATCCGGTCCTCAGGGACCCACAGACAGTCCATATTTTTGCTCCCTCCCAGAGCATGGTAAATGTGGACTGTCTGGCAGGGAGCAAAACGTGGATTGTTTGTGGGTCCCTGAGGACCGGATTGGGGAAACACTGGTGTAAGCTATTGAAGCATGACGTCAGTGTCCAGTTCCTCCCTCCCATTCCGGTCGAGCACAGAGCTCGCCGGCACCTTATCCACATACTAATTTACTGCCCTGTATTATCTCAACCCCTTCCTCTAGTGAAATTCACACAGGTTTATCTGATTAAGAGTGACCCACACAAGTTCAGCATGCCGATTACTCTGCGCTACTTCATTATAGCTGTTGAAATTTATTTGTCAATGCAAAAGAGTGGGTTGTTCCCCAAAGGACATGTGCAGCATCTAATGTAGAGTATTCATTTATGAAGATCTGGATAATGTAGTTTTGCTAATGTCTGCAGCTGCCTCACGATTAAATTCTCGTCCTTTATGTTGTTACGCTGCCTTTCCATTTTCATCACAAGGGCCAGTAGATGGCGAGTTTTAGCAGTTTGACCGTAGCAGAAATTTGTAGAAAGGCCAAATCAAGCAGCTTTAACAAATTCAGTTCTGGTGACCGCTGGCCTTGTTGGAAGGAGTCTGGAGGCTGCTTGGCGTTCACTGGCAGCTACGGGGAAGCCCGGTAATAATGACCCTGTGTCCCAGTCATGGAGTCACATCACATGAGTCTTTCCCAACAACAGTGACTGGAGGCTTATTGCTCATCCTGATGCTGCAGTTTAGAATCTAACGGCTGTTTTTTTTTTTTTTTTGCCTTGTTTATGGAGGAGAAAAAACATTTAGACTGATTGCAAATTGATTGCTAACTCTGAAAGGAGGATGCTGGACTATAAGGAAAAAAATCAATCCCACAACTTAGCTGCCTGATTCACCAGTCACTGCAGGATTCCGAACCCCCCAGCCCCCCAAACCGGCTTTTACACCACTGAAGATTGCCCGGTTTGCAGTTGTCCATGTTCTCCCTGTGCCATGCTTGTTTCCTGGTTTCCTCCCTAGTCAAAAAATGGCTCCTTGGGTGCACTGACTTCCCTGAATCACCCATAGAGAGTGTGTGTGGGACCTCTGATGGTCTGGAATGTCACCTGCAGTGTCCCCTGCCCTGTGCTCTTTGGGACAGGCTCCTATAACCTTATACTGGATGAGTGATTGGAAGATGGATGGAGGGCTGGAATTTGACATTTTAAATGTAATTCTGTAGTTTATTTTGTTTGAAGGGTACAAGATGTCACTCAGATGCTGGATCAGTCTGTTGCTCTGATTTTTCAATCGCGTTGGTTACTTTCTGCGTTTGCACCGGTGCCAGTGACATCCAAGTCCAGCTGACGGTGGCTTTCACGCTGCCAGAAGTGCAGGTGAAAGTGACACCGTTTATCTCTGTGGCCGTCTGCAGCCAAAACATGAAGCTTTTAGCTGAAGCCGCCACGACACACCGGCAGGCAAGCGGAGCCCTTTTCAGAACGTGAAGTGTGTGCAGAAACCTCAGCAGGAAAAATGACAAGTTTTTATTATTTTTTATTTCTTATTCAATCTCCATGTTTCAGAATTATTACAGTTGAGGTGTATTTTTACAGTCATGGAATTGCATAATTTAATCTTCGTTCGTTTAAAACCCACCATTACCCAAAAAGAACAAAATTATCATCAGAATTTATCTGAAAAATTCTAATAATTACTGGAGTGTAAAGATGGAAGTAAAGTTTCAATAATTCATATGTTCATTAGAGTCAGTTAAATCTTTTGCAAAGGGAACTAAATCATAATTTAAAGTGAGTCTGCTGTTTTGTGGGTATTATGGTGTGCCGATCAAGGAGTGTCATCGCATATGTGGGGGGGTTGTGTTGGGGGGGCTTGGGCCGATGAGGGACATGTTACGGGCTAAGAAAACAGAGTGTGGTTTTAAAATGTATGAACACAAAATACTCAGCAGATTATTTTTGTTTTATATTCAATGTATTTGAATTTGCAGCAAATTTAAGTTTCCTCCCTGTGCCTGCAGAGACGTGTGAGAGAGAGTGAGCGTTGCATGATGTAATATGCAGGTAAATCTTTTAGCCAGTATGGAGCCATCGTTTCAGTGTGAAGAAAAGGTTCAATTATTTTTACCACTGCTAAAGAAGAAAAGGAAAACATAAGGGGAGCTGTACACCCTCAATTACCTTTTTTGTTGAGGCTAACATCTGAGCTTGACTGGACTGAAGGAAACCACTGATGATGTGGGAAGCCTTGTGCTGGCGAGTGATAGGCCAGTGTCTGACTGACAGTTAAGTAAAGGAACCTGATTCGCCAGTCCCAGGCACTGCTAGGCGGGGGCTCATCCCTGATTGGCTAGCGGCCATATTGATTCCATTTGCTTGGCTAGCAGTTTGCATTCCTCAGGACCAGTCTACCGCAAAAGATGAAGGTTTTCATTACAGCTGAAAAATCAACCATCAGGTTTTAAAACATCTTAGTAAACTAGTTGAACCAGTACACACACCAGCCCTTTGCGGGTAAGACTGTCCACCCCTGAGTTAAGCATTTCTGGTAAAAGTAGAACAACAATCAGAGGACTGTTTTACTATATGAATGGGGTGTCTTGGGTGGCAGAGGTTTGCTTTGTAGCATCTTGGTCTGGGAGCTGGTGCTCTAGGGGCTTGGCTGGCTCGGGGACGTGGACCAGCTGGGTGGGGAAATGTGGTCCGTCGGAGCACCTCAGGTTTGTCAGAAGGATTGGGTCTTATTGCTGTCAGCCTTGGAACTTTATCTGTCAGACCTCCTTATCTTCACCTTCTGTATTTGAGTTGATTGGCGCAGGATGTGTGAGAGATTTCACTTTGCTCAAGTGGTCTAAGTGACCTCACTGTGTGGCAGGTGTGAGGGGGTACGATCAACGCTGTCTGGGTCAGGGCACAGTGAGGTTTCTAAAGAGGCCCGTATGGAAGGGCGGAAGGAGCAAATGCATCTGCTGGTTGTGGCCGGCGGGAAATCCAGCCAGCTGAGCGACTGGCCTGAATTTATTTGCGTTGATCTACATGCTGGACATTCTCATACTATTTCTTTCGGTCACATCTGACACCTCAGCAGGCTGACAGGAAGTGCTAGACCCTTCCCCAGTGAACACACTTCCTGTTGGAGTCCTGTAACCCCACGCCTTCCCAGCATCCCGTGGGGCAGCCTGTGGGCGGAGCTCTCTGGCTGCTTCACAAGGGCACGATCCGAGCGAGCTAAAAACCCGAGGGGTCCCTCTCCTGGCTGTCTGCGAGCGGCTTCCGCCCCGCTGCTTATGCGGAGAGCAGTGCTGGCCAGTGAGAAGAGGAGCTGTGTAGGGGGCTGCCGGATTTTAATACTTCGTCTGTTTATGGTGGACAGGAATGGCGGAGGCTGTGCTGTGCCCTGGTGCGGCGAGTCAGTCGTTAATCCTGCTGCCCAGAAGGTTGGCATGTCCACATTCCAGACAGTTAGCCTTTGGTCATTCGTATTGCGTGATGTGGTTATGAGTGGGTGTTTCACAGCTGTGTGTGTGTGTGTGTGTGTGTGTCTGTCTGTCTGTCTGTGTGTGTGTGTGTGTGTGTGTGTGTCTGTCTGTGAGTGTGTGCGCACACACACCGACACACTTTTCCTTAAAAGTCCAGTCGAGCAGCACATGAGCAGGGTGTGGCCGTGGCAATGTGAACAAGACAATACACGCCACCCTGCTATTGGGAGTTTCTGTGATAGACTGTGTGTGTGTGTGTGTGTGTGTGTGTGTGTGTGTGTGTGTCTGAGTGTCTCGTTGTCAAGGAGTGTTTTTGTTTTCTTCCCTCCCAAACATTGCTGATGTAATTCTCTCTCTCTTTCCTTCCTTCCTTCCCACTCCAGGGCTGGAAAAGTATCCCTACATGGCAGGCCCAGAGACTGCTGTGCTCTTCTGTTGCAACGCCACCTGAAGGTGAGTCATTGTACTGCACCACCCTGAGAACATAAAGGAAAAAGAGCATTCAGACGAATACAAACTTGATGCCCCAAATACCAGTCATTTTAAGCCTCCTTTGTTATGTTTTGACTATTTTTGGATTTATTGTGAATTCCATGAAAGCCATATGACACCTCCCACATCTCGACAGTTCTGCTTCCCCATTGGTGCTTTGTACAGCTGGCTTGCCTGTGATGTCATGCTGGTAACTGGTCATGCGAAGCAGCATTTCGGCTCCAAATTAATGCCATTTTCCCACCGTCCTCCAAAGGGAGGGTAAGCCTAAGCAAAGTGCTGACTTTCTTGCTAGTTGGCCTGATTTTGTTAGTGTGGACTTAAGAACACCCTTATGGTGGCTTTGTCAAGCCAGAGTGAGCTCTTACATGGGGGGCCTGAACTCTGTCCCACCCTCCCCTCCCATTGCCTACAGGAGGGAGGTGGATCTTCTCTCTGACTGGATGCTGATGAGTTCTGTTCCAATCTAATTGGTTGGATCATCTCACGGGAGTTCCCCGACAGCCATTCATGCATGGGTGTTTGAAGGCGAGGCCCCCGCACTGGTGGGCCGGGAGGAGTGTATGGCCGAGTGCCTGGTCGCTATGGGGGGGGGGGTACCTCTTCCTGCAGCGTGAAGTGCAATCAGAGCTCAACGGCGATTCATTAATTGGGAGCGACAGTTCACTGCTCCAGTAATAAGCATCTGTCACTCCTCGTGTTGTGCAGTGCTTTTGCTCTTAGAATGAATCGCGGAGCCTTTTTTCACATTATCCAGCAGAAGAATCTGTGTTCCTGTCAACACTCATGTGTCGCACAAAAACCCATTACAGGTAGCCCCTTGGTTAAGAACATCCAACTTACGGACAAGTCTTACTTACGAACAGACTAGCATAAAGCCTATTATACTAAACATTCAGGATAAATACAATATTTCATAATGATGAACATACACACTACTTTGTGACACTCGTGAAAATATTGCGCAGCTTCAGAGTTTCATTGGCTCAAGGTTCAATGCAGCATCGTACATAGTTACTTGTATTATTACTGTATAAAAAAGCACTGATTTGTATCGGCCAACTGTTGGTATTGGCTGATACAGTAACAATTGGCCATCGGCCGACGATTAAAAATGAGCCGATATTTACTGCCGATAATCCCCTTTAAAATGCTGACCCATATTGCTTTGCACACCTATGTACTAAAGTTAGTAAAATGTCTGCTGGGTGGAATTATTTTAACGTTTTTAGAAAAGCAATTTGACAACATTACTCTGCTAAAGGCGAGGACCTACTAATCAACATTTCAGCACAACAAATCTGATTGCTCACCTTAAGGCAGGACAGTGAGGGATATGAAGAGTTTCTGAAAAGCAAATCCGTTCCAGTAAAGAAGGCTGCAGTACCGCCGACTAACACTAGTCTGTCCATTACGCAAGCGTTTGGTAGCAAAAGAAATCTGGTGCAGACAGTGTGAAATCAAGACATTATTACTCAGGAAAGTTACGGAGTTTATTTCACTTGATGATCAGCCCTTCTCTGTTATAAATGCTATAGATATATAAGATGTATACAGTTATAAAATACAGTGTTCTGAGACTTGCAAGCCAGAGTTGTCGTTTTTTTATATATATTTTTTGTATATATATTTTTTATTATTTGCATGGTGTGTCCCATTAAATTTATTAAAGCAAATAACAACCTATTGGTATCAGCCAGGAATTTCCTTATTGCTGCATCGCTAGTGTAATTATTATTTTTTCAGACTTAATTGCAAATTCGACTTAGACTTAGGGAATGGATCTGTTTCATAACCTTCTGTATTTTTGTTAGGCTTGGTGCTGAAATGCAGCTTGTTATATCAAAGGCTTTTTAGTTGGGAGTTGAGCCCCTTCGATTGAGTGTGTTTGGTTCATGGACAGACTGTGTGTGGTACAGGTGAATAGAGAGAGAGCAGGGTGAGCTTTCTGCAGCATTGAGGCTTTCGGCCCTGTGATTGGTCAGCCGGTCCTGCCGCCCAGGAGGTTGGAGAGGCTGCCGCTGCGATACTGGCAGCGCACGATCCTTTACGGTGGCGCTGCCATTGCAGCTAATTACGCCTGATCAGTGATCCTGTTACAGACACATGGGTTTGGAGGAAACCTTAGCCAAAGCAATCGGCACGCAGAATAAACCCAGTGGTGCTGGGGGGGGGGGGGTTTAGGGATTTCCAGATCTCTTGATGACACAAGCGCCTCTTTGTTATGTTGCCTACTTGAAATGAAGAGCAGTGTGACACAACTGCTTATTTTTACTGTTTCATAGTTCATACCACCCACCACTCATAGCTGTTTGGCAGATGGAGGGAAGTGAGCGTGAGCCAGAATCCCTCGTCTGTGTTACTGTGCAGTCCGAGCAGTTCGTATGTAGGGGATACTCAGGCAATCTGGCAACCCCCCGGTGAATGGTATTTTTGTTTTGACGGGTTGAGATGATTCTGCTGGACCAGGTGACAAGGTGTACTCAGTGTTCTGCTTTTTTTCTGCATCGTGTCCTCTTCCAAGTGCCGACTGTATTGCGTCGGTCTAATCACCCAGGGAAGGGATGGTATACCCCGCAGATTTTATCATTTGATGACCCAGTTTGATTTAAAGAATTGAGGTACAGCAACGTGATTGAGCAGATTAAGACGTAGGTTTGTTGGGTGTAGGGGATGACAAAGCTATGGGTCATGGGGTAGTCTTTGATTACACGTACAAAGCCTGTCCTCAAGGGTCCTAGTGTACAACTGTTGCACCATCTGCTGGTCATACTTGGTATTGCTCTGTGACGTTCTGGCCCATTAATATCTGTCTTTAACTTCCTTTTTTCCCTATCCCTCCTCCTCCTCTGTCAGAGGTGACTGTAATGTATCAGAACGGACTCCCTGTGATATCGGTCTGCCTGCCGTCTCGGCGGGAACGTTGCCAGTTCACCCTGAAGCCGCTCAGCGACTCCGTGGGCGTATTCCTGCAGCAGCTGCAGGCCGAGGACCGGGGCATCGACCGCGTCGCCGTCTACTCCATGGGTAACCCCGCCTGAGTGCTTGCTGAAGTACACTCACTCTAGCGCAGCTGGCAAAATGCCTCCCGTTTGCTGCTCCTTATGAAAGGGCCCTTTCAGTATTAATTATATCTATTAGCAGCTGTTCTCTGCAAGTTTAGCTACTCGCTACCATAGCTGTGAACTTCCAAGCGACAGCCTGTCCTGCCGCCCCCTTTTTCAGACGGTGTGAGAGTAGCCTCCTCCACGGGGGTCGACATCCTGCTGCTGGACGACTTCAAGCTGCTCATCAACGACGCCATGCACGTGGTGCGACCTCCCCGGAGAGGTGAGCTGTGCTGGTGCCTAAGCGGCCTTCCAGGCTTTTTTTTTTTTTTTTTTGCACAAATTTACTAATAATTTACAAACATGCAGTATGTCAGAGCACTGTTTACTAGCAGTCTCAAATATCTCCCTTTGTTCTGTGTCCGTGCATGTGTGAACTTCATGCGTGTATCTCAGAGCTCCTAGCGCACGAAGAGGCGGAGAGGTTGAACGACGTGAAGTTTTTAGTCCAGCAACTCTACACTACCCTACGCATTGAGGAACATCAGCTGACTAAAGAGCGAGAGCTGATTGGACGACTGGAAGACTTGAATTCACAACTCCGCCCCCTGGAAAAGGTGCCGCTTTTAGACTCCTTAGAATAATAATGCAGAAACGCTGTGGAAACGAGGCATCGGGTTGATGTCATTTATGGAAGAGACTACAGGGACATAAACCTGGTTTTTGCAATTGGTGGAGGGGTGACTTGGTTTAGATTTCAGTGTCAGTCAGGGTGAATGTGAGTTGTTGTGATTGGACGACAGATAAAGGAGGAGCTGAGCCGGAAGGCGGAGCGTCGAACCACCTGGGTGCTGTGGGGGGGCATGGCGTATATGGCGACGCAGTTCGGCATCCTGGCACGCCTCACCTGGTGGGAGTACTCCTGGGACATCATGGAGCCGGTCACCTACTTCATCACCTATGGCACCGCCATGGCCATGTATGCCTACTTCGTGCTCACGCGTCAGGTGAGCGGCTGTCGCAGGACCCGCCGGCCGTCTTTACATGCGCCTCCGCATGTCTGTAGCGACTTCACAACGCGCCAGCACCCTGATCTCTGTTCTGCCCTACCAGGAATACATCTATCCTGATGCCAGAGACCGCCAGTACCTGCTCTTCTTCCATAAGGGGGTGAAGAGGACCCGCTTTGATATCGAGAAGTACAACAAGTTAAAGGACGCCATCGCCGAGGTATTCCGAGGACGGCGCCCCCACCTCCCCTCTCCCCATAACTGTAGCTGTAGCATGGTGGCTAACAGAGCAGAATCATCGCTCAGTCTCAGGGCTGGAGCGCATCGGGTCAGGCGATGACTGCGAGGTTTATACATTCTGCCCACATTCTCCCTGGATCTCCCCCCACAGTCTAAAGTACTGCCCTTCAGATCAAGTGTGGAATATGTCTCTTAAAATCTGGATTCATCCGTTTTATACCGCATGTCCTGGGGAGGCTCATAACATACTGTAATTCTGGGTAAATCACAGCATGCTAAGATGCACTGTACCAGTATTTCAGGTTGGGTAAAATGATAAGAAAATGGACTAATGGCTTAGTCTAGAAACACTTGAAATTCTGCTTTTATGATGCGTATCAGCAGAAATTGGCTGCAGGGGGTGCTTTTCTGGTGTGGCATGTTGTTATAGAAGAGCAGCTCTTCGGAAATACTGTGGTGCAGATAGAAAAGCTTCTCATTGAGGTTTTTTTCCCCTGTATGCATGTGTGTGTGTTTAGGCATTGAGTGGTAGATGTCATGAAGGGTTAACACCCTGGAAATGAAGCAGCGGTGTGTCCTTAGCTGACCGTAACCCCCCCAGGCTGGGCCTCCGCAGGCAGCGATGGGAGCCGCTCGGCCCTAAGCGCCCACTTGCTGCAGGGCTTCTCTTTCTCCTGTTCGAACGCCTCTCAGCTGTTCACTTTTTCTGACTTTTCGGACAGGAGGGAATGTTCTCACGCCTTTTCACATCCAGAGCCACACACACAACCCAGTTTTATATTCATAAATTCTATGGACCCCTGGACATTCTCCAAATCCTAATAGGAGACAAGAATATTCTTTCTATCGTAGGTTGCCCTATCAAATGTTCATGGATTTATTTTCCCCTACATATCTAAAGGCTCCCCTCTCTCTCAGTGAAATGATGTCGCTTATGAGGGGGGGGGTCTTTAGCTCTGCATAAAAGTACGGAGTTATTCTCCCGGAGCTTTGGCTTTTGCGATTATCTGACAGGTTCCTGTTACTTTATTTCCTTCCAATGCTCTTCCTGGCTTTTTCCTGGGATGAATCCGTAGTGGATTTTAATTTCTTTGAAATCCTCGGCCCTTTTGGACCTGTCCTATTGGGTATGTCTAAGGATTTGTTCAGGCAGCAATTTGTACAGCTGATCCAGGGATTTGGTACCGTCGACAGGCATCCATCTCCGTCATTTTGAAACACATGGACTTCTTTCTGTGCTGCTAGGTGTTGCCCATTCTTCCCCATCACCTGAACTCTACTCGTATGTGGCCCTTTTCTCTGGCTACACAGCAAATATTTCAAATGGGCAATTTATTCTGTATTAAAGCGGTTTGGATTTCATGGTAAAAGTAAATATGAGATTTTCTGATCTGTGTGTGTGTGAGTCAGTGCGTGTGTATGTATGTGTGTGTGAGTCAGTGCGTGTGTGTGTATGTGTGTGTGAGTCAGTGCGTGTGTATGTATGCATGCTGGCCCACGTTTGCACCTCCTCTTAGTCTTTGCAATTAGCCCCTCTCAGCTGTGTCTGATGTTTTCATTTAGATGAATTACTCACTCCTTTATCAGCCGCCGGCTCTGCTCTCACGCTCTGTGCATTCTGGAAACAGAGAATGAGCACCCAAAAGAGTGAATGCTTTCCTGTCAAGGTACCAGGCCTGCCACATTCATTCATATACTTACATCAGGGGTGTCAAACTGCAGTCCTGGGGGGCCGGAGCCCTGCACATTTTTGCGGTTCCCCTTATTTTACACACCTGATTCAACCCCTTGAG